AACTAAGCCACTTCTGAGATGGTGACACTAGTCCATTCATGAGGGCTCTACCCTCATGACCTAATCACCTCTTAAAGGTCCCATATCTTGACACTGGCAATTCAACATGAGCTTTGGATGGGCCATTTAAACTACAACACATGCCTATATCCCCAAAGAATAAAAAGTGACTTTCAGACTTTCTGGACCTTCTCAGAAACCAAGAATAATTGTTATTTAGAAAAGCCATGGGGTCCTCATTTAGATGTTCCATGGTCATCCTGACTATAGATGATGGCTGCCCTCTTTGAACTAATGAGAGTTTGTTGATATTGAAAAGTTTCCTCTAGTTCTCTGAGGGAAAGAACTGCAAATACAGTTTGGTTGTCACAATGGTGGTCCAAATGTATGATGTAGAATGTAAGCAGATACCCGTGAGAGCCTGGTTGTGGGACAGCAAACCTTCTGTGGCTATAGCTGTCTCTGCCTTCCTGCAGGGCTCCTTCATTCTCTGGCCTCACTGACTCTACAACTGACCCTACAACTCACCCACTCTCTTATGGCAATGCCATGTCCCATCACCCAGTGGAAGCTTAAGGACAGGGTTACTCTGTGCCCAGACTAAAATCAATTTGAAAGTCATTAGCCTATCCAAGTGGTGGAAATCACAATTATTGTCTATTTAAAGTAATTCCCCTAAAAGACTGTTAGAATATTATCTATTATAACTCAATTAATTAGATAGCTAACTATTTAACACAGAAAAAGCATTTAACTAGTTAAGTTCCTACGAGGTATAGAGGAGGGTAAAGAAAGGCAATTTAACTGGGGAAAGCACTGGAATCCAAATAGAGTAGCACATTGTTTAGGGGTAGCAGCAGCCAGGAACATCATAAGGGCAAAATACTTAATTTCTCTATGCTTCAGTGGCCTCATTTACAAATAAAGATAATAATAGCATCATTATATAAATAATCTATGCAATAATTCATTTGGCATTATGCCTCGTCTATAAGAGCTGAAAAATATTAGCTAAGATATTATTGTTGAAGTTACATTAAAAAATAATAATGATTAGGAGTAATAGGGTTAGGTTAAGTGGAGCCAAAATGCAATTAAATGAGAGGGTAGAAAATTGAGTAAGAAAGCAGGGGCAAGAGTGTTGATCCCAATCTTTAGCTATGTCATAACTCTCTGGAATTAGCTCAAAGAGAAACATCCTGGCAGAATGATTTTAGAGCCAAAGATATCTTGGCTCTGTCACTTGATAATATGTGACTTTAGGGAAATTACTAAGTTTTTCAGAGTCTTAGTGCCCTTATTTGTAAAAATGGGAATAATTACATCTTTATGAAGATTATACAAATAACACACAAGTGAGAAAGTTTACGGTGCCCAGTAAACACATTCCCCTCCGTCACCTGGCCAAGGTCTTTCCCCTTCATACTGTGGTTGGCAGACTGCAAAATGAGAAGTCCATCTGGATAGGTGAGAAACACGAGGATCAGCATTGTGGACTCTTTATGCAGAGAAGAAAGAGGTCACCACCTTCCTTATACCCTCCTGCCACTGGAGCAGCTCAGTGAACAAATGTACAATAGGGCTGCTAAATATTAGAACTTGCACTCCTTAGATATGGCATGTAGTGGAATAATTCTAAATCCACTGTAATGTGCTACTGTAAAATGGAAGCCATCCAGAAAACAAGGAGCACAGAAACAAGCTTTCATGGAAATTTAACTCTGGACATTCTGGCTTTGTACCTTAACATAAATAAAATCTCAGTACATTTTTTTGACCAAAAAAAAAAAAAAAATTGAAGACAGTTTTTTTTAAAGCTATATAAATCTAATGGCTACAAATATCTTTTCATCATCACTCAAGATATTTGTCATCTGATCTAAATTATATGGAAGATAAGTCATCTTTGATAGTCATACCAAATATTAGAACATTTCTTCATTGTAAATGTTACTTTGCTTGATGAAAACGTAATTACATTGAAGACAGTCTTCAAAATCATCTCATTTCTATTCTCAACATTATTGTTTCAGTGTCTGTATTATCTTTCTTTTTCTAAATTCATAGAATACACTTCTTCTCATGCATTACCATGCCAGTCCTAAGATTTTCCTTAGGTGTTTTGAAATAAAACTAATACAAATTTTGACATTATAAGTACGCTTTCAAAATACTCTCCTTCTGATTTATATAACTGTTCCTGACACTAATATGCAGTTATATGTCATTAGTTACTTAAGTGTTTTCTATAATTATGTAAATTATGTTGACACTTTCTGGTAGGATGCTTACATTTTACTATTTTGTCATTTGCAAAGTTCTGAAGTATATCGGATAACCATTTTCAATCATTTTCAAATTAAACAGCTGTGAAAGGGTTCTTGCTGTCTCCTTGCTTTCTCTGCCTATATTGCCGAGTCCGCTGTTGACACAGGAGACGTCTATGCACATATCCCTTCTCTACCTCTCTCCCTATAGAATTTTGCTTTATAATTTTAATGATGACCATGTTATGGTCATTGACTTTCTGGAACTCACAGTCAGAGAGAGGTAAATACCATCAAGTACAGGTCCATGGATTATAACAAAAGAATATGGAAACAAGTGTAATAATAAAGTATGAATATTTGCATGGCAGAGGAGAAAGTGACTAGCCATTCAGATGGGCCAAGGAAAGCTCCACAAAGGAAGTGATTTTTAGCTTGAGTCTTGAAGTTTCAGCAGGAGTTTGGTGAGCAAGAACAGGGAAGAAAACCCTCCTGGCCAGATGCACAGATAGAGCCATGGTCAGGAAAAATGAGGAGCTGAGGATGCCTTGGATGCAGGATGCAGGAACCTTTGCATTAGCTAAGGACACTAGAGAACTGGGGTACACTTCTAAAGGCCCTGAAAGTCATTCCAGGGCAGAAAAGTCAGCAAACACAGCTATCTTTACTATAAAAGAACTGGCAGGATCAAATTTTTCAGAACATAATGACATGATGTGGACAACAAACAGATGCCATCCTTTCAGCTGTGAGCAGCCTAGGAAGATAAATTCCTTCAAATCCATGGAAAGGAAAACAATCTCCTTCTATCCCAGTTACACTTAGTTCACACAGAAATGGATTCAGTTGTTGCTGGGTGGCCCATGAGGGTATGAAAAACACAAATACAGTGTTATGCACAATGTTTCAAGATATTTGAAGAAATCATTGGGATAAAAATCACAACATTGTGACAAATATGCCCATTTAATAATACAGAGCCCTAAGGAGGGCTGAGGTCTACCACACCTCTGCCATATTGATACACAGTGACATGGTCCTGCCAAACATTGCCACATTAATGTGTGGGTACCTATTCCACTACCCTTCAGCCACGTCACAATGTGAACATTCTGTATATCCCTGAAAAATCTACAAATGGGGCTGGGCTTCTGCCAAGCCTCTGCCACATCTGTGTTTTAGGGTAGACATGGTCCACCTTACTACATTACACCAAGTACTGAGCTCTGAGAAAGTAGGTATTCTTAGCTCTGCTAGTGCCTGGGTTATAGAATTTGTCAAAAAGGTGGCTGTAACAAGGGGAGAAGGTGTCTAACTTGAATTTTACTTAGGATCATAATGGCAAAGGATGCTGATGATGGAATAATAAGAGAGAAAAGTTTAAAAATAGGAAATAATAAAAGAATCAATAAAATAATAATAATAATTAATGTATTAAACATAGTGGCTTGGATAAGAGAAATATATGAAACCCTAAAAACAGGGAGAAGGAAATATAGGAGAGTATTTTTAAAATAAGAAAGGAAACTAAAAAGGAAGACAAATCAGATAAAGAGATATCATGAAATGGTAAACATAATGAATGACAGATCTATACATACACACATGTGTATATGAATACACATACATACATATATGTATATCTATCTATATGCATACATACATATATTCACTCAAGAAGCCATTTGTCTTCCCTATATGCTTTTGAGTATTCTTGATGAATAGAGCTTTGAATAGACACTTTGAGCCCCAAAGTATCCTTTCTGCAGTAATTTGCTGAAGTGTTTAGGGTTTTATCTGGGGAAACCCAATGCATAAGATAAAACATTACCTATTGGTCTAAAGCACATCTGTCTATAGCTTCATTTTGCCAATGAGAGGGAGAAGTCACATTTTCTAAATCTCAAGGAAACAAAGAGTAGGAAATTTGTTGTAAGTGATAGTCTCCAAAATTGTTTTGGCCATTAACTTTTCCATACACTCCATAAAGGCATCTCTGATGGCTAGTCTTAGACTATCCTAATTATCATGGTTTTGGGGAACAGATCTTGCATGGAAACTGAGATGCTTCAGGCATATCTGGAGGGTCAGATGCATTTAGAACATGTTGTACATCACCATACAGAAAAGATGGAGACCAGCAGACAGATCCCTTCTTTTCTCAACTGTACGGGCCTGCAGGGAGGCCTACAATTGGTACGGGGTAACCCATTCATTGGCTTCACACAGGGGCAATCATCAAGTTAAATAGCAGTTATTTCCCTGCAAGACACAATGTGAACAACCCTCCAGCTCAGCCCTAGGAACACACAAGTGTGTGGAAGAACAAAGGGAGAGCCCACAGCCAAATACCACTGGGAAGAAAATGAGGCCATAATGCTCTAGTCCCCTCAATGTGGGTACACAGGGGCGGCCCTCTAATAACACATCAAATAGGCAGCCCTGAGCTGGTGGGCCACCCAACCACATCCAACAAGAGGTACCATGTATTCAAAAAACCACTAACATACCAAGCCCCTTATTTGCAGCCCAGGGTGTACTTGTGACAACCTTTTACAAATCAGGAGGTACACACGAAGTAATATTATTTCAGTAGGGAAACTGATTTCTGCTTCTGTGTCACAATTTAAGAAAACAAAAGACAGAACTATCGATTCTAAAGATTTAGAAAATTAACAGGTACATGAGAACAGGATCGAAGGAAAGGGGGAAGGTTTCAAATGGGCCTCTTACCTTTTTGTCACTCAGGCCAGAAACCTGGTCCACATATTCCTCTTGGATCATGAAGGCAGCTAAGTTGGCAGTGTAGCTGGCCAGGAAAATTACAGCAAAGAAGGCCCACACTGACACCATGATCTTGGAGGTGGTTCCCTTTGGGTTTTGCACAGGTACAGAGTTGTTGAACACTAGACCCCAGAGTAACCAAATAGCTTTGCCGATGGTGAAAGATGGGCCGCCTGGCTCTGGCAGAACAAAACAATGCAGACACAAAGTTAAGCCAGAATCACTAGTTGTATTTCAACCTACAAGTACACAGAGCTGGAAAGTCTCTGCTAAGAGCAGGGTAGCCCCTCCCTTAAGACTGAACCTTTATAATTTGAGAGTCTGTTTCTCTCTTTTTTGGGGAGCCCCAGAAGGGCAGAAGAGGGTCCTTAAGAGAAAAACCAGGGTTCTAGGGTGTGTGGTGGATCTTTCTCCAACTGTGTTCCTGCCTTCATACCTAAGACCATCAGAATTCTGTGGAAACTGAGTAACAACGGCTAACTGTGCCACTATGTTCACATTTGGGTCATTGTGATCATTTTTTCCTAACTTGTATATTTGTATCTACCAAGGAAGCATTTTAACTTCCCAAACATTAGCAATAATTATATGAGGTCTTTTTCTAACCATTGTCATAAGCCTCCTCTGAGTCTATGCACATTCATATTGGATGGTTTTGAATGGACTTTTTGCTGATTATCCTTCAACCTCTAGCAGTTAGCATTCAATATTTCAAAGACAGACTTGACCCTATGTCAACACTTCCCAGCCGATTTCCTACAGTAGTAGCTTCTGTGTACAAGAACATTAGGAAGGAAGTCATCAACTTCCACCTGGCCACCTGCATCTGAAGGCAGAATATCTGTCTTTGACTTCCCTCCACCTGCTCTTTACACAGATAGTACCAGGGTATCTGTCCATGAATGTATGGTGGCTTCTATGCTAGCTCTGCTTAATGAGGGTAAAATCTTGCCTTTATCTGGATCTCCATGCAGACAATGTGGCTCTTTCCACTGCAGAAACCAACATCTGCCTGCACAATTTTATGACATATTAACACAGGTCTTATTATGTTTTCTGTGTTTCTGATGGCATCTGCTCAGCCAACTACATTATCAGGGACTACACATGTTAAATATGATATCTAACAGTGCATGCACATCTGTGCATGTGGACCCTATTTATTGAAACAGATATGTAACTAGAAAGTCATTTATAACCAAAGTTTTTAAATTGTAAAATGCTCTTGATATTTAAAGTGGCACTGTACTGAATTCCTTTGTGAAGACAAACAGCTTATTATAAAGTGAGTAATTGTAAGTTCTTGCTCTGAGTATAGTAAATCTGGATTTTTACCTTCTGTTTCCTCCCCACCTAAGAATGAGAGTGCACATGAACTTTAGTTATTGACATTGTCAACCTAACTACATACTCATGTGATTCTCAGAAGTTTTCTTTATCAGGCTGGGCAGATCATGGCTTCTGAATGGCCCTTTAGCAAAAGTGGGTCACCACTGATTGTACCACTGTGTGAAGACATGGAGATTTCCACCCCAGAATACATAAACCAACTCAAAAGGTAGGTTTACACTTGAAATATGTCAGTGAAGTGCTGATTCACATCCTGGACTGTGAATTCAACAGAAGCATAACGGAAACTTTTATAAAATATGGTTGCCTGAAATCCACCCCCAGCGATTCTTATTAAATTGGTATAGGTTGGGTATTATATTTTTTAAAATTTAATTTAATTTTTTAATTTGTTCTAGTTAGTTATACATAACAGTAGGATGCATTTTGGCACATTGTACACAAAGGGAGCACAACTTCTCCTTCCTCTGGCTGAACATGGTACAGAGTCCAAAGCAGAGATCCACTATTTTAAAACAGAATGGTTGAAGCCCCATCCTAGACTGAGTGAATCAGAAAGTGAGGTCCAAACATCTTTGTCTTTTAAGTGCCCCATAGGTAATCGTTCTTAAGAGCCAAGGTTAAGAAACTTTCCTCTTAGAGTATAAAATTCCAGGTTAGCAGACACATTCTAGAAGGATAAAACTCAGAGAAGATAGACTATTTCTTAATCCTGGGGTTCTCAGGAAGCTTCAGAAGAGCTATTTACAGGAATCCCATGTCCTCCTTTGGAAATCTAGCAAACTTTGAAAAAGTGTGTGTGCTTCAAACATCTGGGTAGCCCTCTCATCTGTGGAACTACCTACCCAGGAAATTGCCCCCGGCCCCCATCCACTGTAGCTATGGGTGAGAATTGGTCTACTCTGCCCATTTCATTCCACACATCCAACTTCTATGCTCGCTGGCAAGGGATGTTGATCTAGGACCATATGCCTGAGAGATATTGTACCTCAGTAGTGATCCTTTGGCTCTGAGGAACTCTGCCAGTCACAACCACCTGCACTTACCTTGGGGCAACCTATTTTTCCTGTCCTTAATAAGTGTGAACAATCTGTCTTGTTAGTTACATCTGTTCCAACAGACTGTCCACAGCCTAAAGTCATCGAAAGCTTCCTGTTACACTTTCAGAGTACCCACCTCTACTATCACTCTTCCCTTTCATTTACCTAGGGGTAGGTAGAACTGGGCTTAGAAATGATGTGAACCATAAGGGGGACACAGAAATTCAAACTAGCATCTTATTTGGCATATTTCTAAAGTGTCACCAGCTTGGTGATCTAGAAGACTGAGGGATTTTTTTTTTCCAGAAATGGAAAAACTAGGAAGAATACGGATCAGGGAGGAATCAGGGGTAAGGAGAATTGGAATTACAAACTAGAAAAACATAGAAAAACCCTGGTTCCAGCTGGCCTTACCTCTGCCATCAGCGAGGCACCTGTTATAACCCACAGGGCTGAAGTATTCAAAGACAAAAACGGCCACGGCTGAGACGATGAGCAGCATCACAAACATCATAACCCATACGTCAGCACTGAATGGCTCTGGTAAGGGAAAGAAAACAGTGCTCAAGGTCAAAACAGAAAAAAAGGATGCTAAATATTTCACTTGGTCATGCAAACCAATATTTGGGGAGAACAAGAAACAAGTGTGCTGAATGCCTTCGTGATCCAGGGACTAGTTTAGGGAGAAATCAAACATGCCTGGACAGATCCATCCCCCAGATCGGCATGTCAAGGTTGCTTTCTTCCAAGCACAGGAGGAACACAGTCTCATGCTCTTGTACCGTGTAATGTTTGTAGAGATAGTTTCTGCTATCTATTGGATCCATATCTAAGTCTTTCAGTAAAAGGTATAATTGGAAGGAGTATTGTATAGTATATGCTACAAGTGAATCATATTGGACTGACTTGGTTTACGTTTTCATCTATATGTCCATACCACAAAGGGGAGGCCCCCCAAATCCTTCCCCAGTGCTTCTGAGACTTGCAGCCAAATTAATTCTCAACAGACTTAGCTAATATTTCAGAGTTGAATTAATTCAGTAATAATTATGTACAATATTAACCATCCTCTCTACCCCATTGTATCACTCCTCTTAAATTTTCCATCTAGATTTAATTTTTCAACCCATTTTGATGTGTTATTTTTCTATTTATTTGTGCTACTGAATATTGAATCCAGGGTCACCCTATCACTGGGCCACTGCCCCAGCACTTTTTCATTTTTTGTTTTGAGACAGGGTCTCACTAAGTTGCCAAGGTTGGCTTTGAACTTGCAATCCTCCTGCCTCAGCCTCCCAAGTCACGGGGATTATAGGTATGTGTCACCAAAATTTTGGGATACACTGGCCAGCTGATACATTTTATTTGTTAACATTGACTTATATCCACATTAATATCAGTATCTGCAACAGGAGGAATTTAATAGTTGACATGTTGTTGAATAAGTTGTGATTCACAATCGCAATCTATCTCCTATTATGAGGTGACAGTGTTGGGACAAGACCAGGCAAGATAGTAAGAATATTGTACACAGTTCTCTTTACTATCTTTAATCATTTTTGTTGAACCCCTTCCAGGTGAGCTAACTCTCTCTGGCTTAGAGGTGTCCAAGCACTAAATGCTGTGTTGCAGAAGCCATCTCTCGGAAGACCAAGACAAAGGGACAATTGCTATTCTTTCCCATGATGCAATATTTTCTTAAATGTGTCTCAAAATAGTTTTGGCCTTTTTTAACTGTCACATCACATTGTAAACTCATAACTAAGTGAATTAACATTCTGTTTTCCTCATCTTCCAAATCATTAATAAAGATAAAGTTGAGAAAGGGGGAAAATGGCTGAAAATTTTAAAGTACCTTTCTTTCTCTGAAACCTATTTACTATTGTACTTCCAAAAGAATTATAAAAGCTTGGTCACTTAATCAATTTAAAAACAACCTTGATAAAGCCCCAGAGCTTGACATACCCACTGTGAAATACAAAACCTTTCTATGGCAGTCAGACTTACACATAGAAAGTAAAATTTAAAGCCTCTATATGATAGTGTATAGACTCTAATCTACCTTGATTTCACTATTTCTAAGATTGGGTAATAACTAAGTAAAAGAATCACCTCTGTGATTCTGTGATCTCCCCACTCCTCCTGCCCCGCCACCATTAAGCCCAGGGCAAATTTATATCCAAAAAATACAACAAACACCTATATTAACCTTTATAATTTACAAAGCACTTTCACCATTTACTATCATGCATGATTCTTTTAGTGACCATTTCATTTGGGATTACCTTATCCATTTTACAGAAGAGTAAACCAAGAATGAGAGATCAAAGTACTTTCCAAGTTCTTACATAGAAAGTGGCAGTTAGGTTATGAACTGAGGTTCTCAAGACAGAAAGTCTGTGTTCTTTCTACTGTATAGTTTTGCATCTTTACCTGCCTACCACACTGGTTCCTGGGTTAGGGGTGGAATTCTGAGATGATCAAATGTGGATTAGAAAACAGGCTCTGAAGGCTACATACTTGGACATAATCCTAGATCTGTCAGTTTTGGACTGAGAAACTTATGGAAAATTACTTAACCCTGTCTCAGATTCCATTTCCTAAGCCATAACATGGGTATAATTATAGTACCAATGAGTTATTATAACCAAACATGCATGATTAATACCTGGCACATCACATATTAGGTGTTGAATAAATTTTGGTTTCTCTTACCCTGCAACTAACTCTTTCTCATCCCAAAACACACAATACCACACTTTGCCTAACATTTTTGTCTTTCCAGGGCTATTTGGCTCTTCCAGTTCAGAAACTGTGGTTAGTGCTCTACTGGCGGGGTTAGAATTAGAGCATACTTTGTTTTTATCTTTTAATGTTCCAATCTCCTCAAATTGAAAAAATGCAAATAAATTGTAACCAGAAGCCATGAGAATTAATGCATGTGGCGTGTGTTATCTAATAACATTTCACATAAAACCAGCAGAGTCAGAATTTGCTCCACTACAAATAAGAAGATTAGCTAAGAAACTTCAATGATTTATATAAAATCTATGGAACCTATAATTCTACTTAGTGTTACATTAATTGAGTTATTCTTTTTGGATAGAGCTTAAAGAAATGACAGGCACTGTCTATTCAATTATCCTCCTTTTAAAAATGTTCATGTCCCTTGGAGTGATTGTGACTTGACCAAGGGCTTACAGCTTGTTTATGTCCAAACCAGGCTCCTGTCTTCTAGTCCGATGTTCTGTTTCAAGGTGACATTTAACTTCCCATCCCCTTGCTCCATAGCCCCTGCAAAAATTATGGGATATGAGCTCACAAAGGACCTCATATAATTGAAAACTTGGCCTTATCTCACCTAGTCTTATATCACATCTAAGGCTTTTGACAGTTAAGTGATGCTGGAGGGTGGGGAAGTAGAGAATGATAAGGGGAAGGATGGGTTGGGGTGGGAGGAAGCATCAGTTCAGTTCTGGCTGAAAAAAGCCTCAGAAAATTCATGTGACAACGGAAAACCTTTTTTTTGGTAGCACTGAGCTCAATTCTTGAAGACAATTAAAAATAAATAGGTATTTCAATGATATCCAGAATTAGAAATTTTTAGAGCAGGAAGCACCCTCAGAGATAGGCTAGCTGAAATGCCTTCTATGGCTAAGGAAACTGAGTCCCAGGATGGAGCAAATTTGCTCAAGGTCAGATGGTGACTAAGTGATAAGAAAAGGACTCATATGGAGGCCTCTGATGACCAATGCAGGAGTGTTTTCTTACGAAGCATTATGCCTTTCTATTATTCTGGGTGTTCTTCAGCTTTCAGGTTTGAGAATAATCAATTTTGATGTCCTCAAAATGAAGTCCCCAGATGAGTTAAGCTATTAGGAAACCAACACCCGACTGACAGAACCTGGCCATGTGCTCCTTCAACTATTCCTTATTCCAATTCCTGTCACCAGCAAACACATCATTTACCTAAGAAGGCAGAAGGTGAGACAGTCCCATTGCTGCGTGACACCATGACACTGATGCCAGTCTCTATGAAGGGTACAGAGAAGTCAACCACCTCTGATCGCTCCTCGTTGATGGTGAGCGATCCCACTGCCATGTAGGCCCTCTTCATGACCACCTGAGGAGAAAGATACCAAGTTCTGGTTAGAATACCCAGGAAGGCAAGGGCCACCTTGAGGAAAATACTCACGGCCCTTCAGCAATTTTCTTCATACAGTGGGAACAGTGCATTCTCTTTACCACTTCATATTTTACAAATCATAAAATGAGCCCTTATATGTGTAATAAGAATTGTAATGCATTCCACTGTCATGTATTTAAAAAATAAAATCAATTTTAATAAGTATTTACATGAAATAAAATAAATGAAAACTGGAATTGGCCCTTACTTTCTGACACTCACCTCTCCAATCATACCATTCCAGGTGCCGTTGATTTTCTTCCCATGCTTGCCATTGGTAACCAGGTAAAGGTCATAGGTGAACTTCACAGATTTAGAAATTTTCTTAAGGATGTCGATACAGAACCCCTTGCAGCATTTTTTGATGTATCCTGGCTCCTCATCTGTTTTATTCCTAGCCAGTTAAAGAAACAAAAAACAAAAGCAAAGCTTTGTACAAGGAGCACAGTATTATTCTTTGTCATTAAAACTCCAATTCTAAAGCAGGCCACCCTTCACAGCACAATTTATATCAGACCTGAGTGAGGAAATAAACCAGATCCCAGAACCGCAATATTCTCATTATCTCATTACATTGGGCCGTGCTTTCTCACAATTTTTAATGTTCCTTTGAAGTACAATACACATCAGGAAAGAGTACATATCCTTAGGGCTCAGTTCTGTGAATTTTCATACACTAAATTCACCCTTTCAGCCAGCTCCTGAATCCAGGTACAGAAAAGTTACCACTAAAAGGCTTCTTTTTCTCCCTTCCAGGCACTTCCTTCCCTCACCAAAGAAAACCATTATTCTGACTCATAACAACATAGATTAGTTTGACCTATTTTCAGAAATGGTTCTAAATATCAAAATTTTGGGATATACTGGCCCAAGAAAATATAGTTCAATACCAAGAATAAACCAAAATCTCTATAACCTTGAGATCCCAGGCACTGAGGTCAGGAAAGGCCAAAGGAACCTTAAGCATGCCTAGCAGTCATTCTCCTAGGTTATGATTTGGACAGAACCAGACATCAGACCACAGGGCTGCCAGCAATTCAGCAGCTCATTAGCAGCTGAAAATTGGACATGGTGCCCAATTCATTCCTTGCTGCAGGTCCCAGGCCTGCCAGGTGCTAAGAACTGCATCAAAATTGACTCTCTCATGCTACCCACAGCCACTGGGGGAGGTTCCATACTCAGAGACTATGCGTTTTTGGCAGGGGACTGTGTTCCTCATGCAGGTTCCACTTAGAGGGTCCACGCTTTCCACAATGACAAATGGAGCCTCCTCCAGGGTCACAATGCTTAGGTGGTCATCCTCTTGCTCTTCGGTCTCGGGACACATTCGGGGCCACACATAGTATTTCATCTGCAGGGACTTGTCTTTCCACTTCCCCACCTGCACAAGGATAAAGAAAAGACTCAGAAACCACTGGCCACGACATATACAGCTTCCCCCAGCACTCTCTGAATCTTCCCAGGAAGCTGTTCAATGAAGGCAAACAGATTTAAGCATTGTATGTAATGGAGAGAATCCCTTTTAAACCATATGTTCAAAAGGAGACTACTGTGTCCCAAACCAAGAAAGGCAATACATTCATTGACTCATCCACTTACCAAACATTAAATAAGGACCTACTATGTGGTGGGTACCCTGCTTAGCCCCATAAGCTTAAAACAGCATCATTCTGTCCTTTATCAAGCTCATACTGAATAAAGGAGTAAGAAGTATAAACAACTATTTACAACACTGTATGGTGAATAATAAAACTGAAGCCTGTACCAAGTGCAGGGAGCATGCCAGTTTTCTGTGTTGTGTGGCTGTCAGTTTTTTTTTTCCTTTAAACTTAACCATAATAAAGAACATGATAGTGAGAGCTGAAAAGAGTCTTGGAAAGGTCAACAGAATGACTGTAGCAAATGAGCTGGCAGAATGTGTTTTGGTTTGTAATGGAGGTCCAGTGATGAACTGTGCAGAAAACTAGATAAATCTGAACTGGAATAAAATGATAAATTGGGATGAAAGAATATAGACACAGCTCACTTGAAGAAGGGAATATGGTTGGGCTGGTGATAATCTCATGGGTCAATGCAGAAATGCATTAGTATGAATCACATGGGTCTCTCTGTGAGCTGCCACATTAGGCCACACAGGCTGGGCTGTATGCTGTATAACCAGGAGTACCATTCTTGTGACTCTAAAGTGAAGGGTGGATGCCCTCAAAATCATGCACATGGTGATCCTGCTGCCAGTCATAATTAAATGAATGGTTCAGTTATAAGAGCCATTCATTCCTATTGTACAATAGAATCTACATGACTTAGTTGGTAGGTTCTCGTTCTCGCTGTGCCGTTGAGTTTAATGGAGAACGAGGGAACACTTTTAATTTTTTTCTATAACTAACATCTTCAATTATCACAAGAATTAGGAATCACAAGTCCCTTCATTTTTCCAACCTATGATTTCCTCTGTGCAGAATGCAAAAAAAAAAAAAAAAAAAAAAAAGGTGAGGTACCAGAATTACAAACTACTTAGTTTATTTAACTACAGAAATCAATAAGAAGCAACGAATTGACAGCACTTCTTAAATTTTCAAGTGAACAGGCATGGATTTCTCTATAAATGCAAAACTCCAACTCCTTCTTTTGTTTCTGCTTTTGTCTGCACTTAGGTTTCTACCTGACACCTTCTCAGGTGTGGTTAGCTCCTCTCTCCAGTTTGTCCCATGGCATGATGACTTCCATACTCAAATTAGGCCTGAGTAGCCACTACCTTGTTTTATTGCATTGTTACAACATGGGCAGTGATTGAGTGTCCTGGGTTGCCCTGTTTGGCACCTGCATAGTTTTTCTCTGGCATTAACCCTGGTATGGGTTGGTTTTCATCCAACTGTGTAAATGAAATTTTGCTTCTTTGTTCAGAATTATGCACTGAACCAAATGTTTGGCTTTCCTTTATATATACAGCTGCAACTTAACCTACAATGGGGTTATGTTTCATTAAGCTCATCATTAAATTGAAAATATCATAAGTTGAGAATGCATTGAATACCCCTAACCTACAGATTATCAGAGCTTAGCAGTACAGCAGGCTGCAGGGTCAGTTCTCCTTGTGATTCTTGTGGCTGCCTGGGAGTTGCAGGTCCCTGCCACTACCCAGTTTCATGAAAGTATTGTACACATATTGCTAGCCCTGAAAGAGATCCTAAATGGTTTCCATTGAATGTATACTGCTTTTGTACCATCATAAAGTCGAAAATCCATAAGTCAAGCCAACATAAATGGTAAGGTAGGGGCGCCCTGTGTAGTCTTCTTTGTACTGTTGATCTTGCTTTGTTCCCTGTTTTTCCTTCTTTTGCTAAGACTACTTATTTCTAAAGAAGAAATTTCCAAATGGCTTCTGAGACACATGCAGATATTAATGCCCTCTTCCAGTGGAGCTTAACAGAGAGGAGACCCACCCTGGGATCCATGATGTTGGTTCACCTCCATTCCCAAGGAACCATATTTGCCCCTGTGGCCAAACCAGTAATATATTCTGCATGTTCAACAGTAAAAAAAAAAAAAAAAAAAAAAAAAAAAAAACGTTGGCAAGCCCTAAACTAGTATTTTATTTTATTTTTAATTCCCCTCACATTGGCTTACCAGTAACTTTTGATATTTTTTTCCCCTTTTAAATCCAAATTTATTTTTCTGCCTTCATTGCTACCCTCCTAGCCCAGAGTAAGTGGTCCAGCAGCCCATTCTGGAATTATCTGAGGAAGATGCCAAATTACACAAGGTTCCCCTAAGTCCATCGTGAACTTCTGCCAGATGACTTTCTGAAAACACAACTTTGTCATTGTACAGTTTATATTCAAACTTTTCAATGATCTCTCACTGCTCTCAGCTGTGCAGCCATTTCACCTGGATGATCCAGGTCTGTGCACTGGGCCTTATCTACCTTGACATCACTATTTTAATTCATGAATCTTTTGTTCAACTCAGATGTTGTTGGTATTACAAACTAACATGGGTTAGTCAAGAACACATTGCAACATTCTAGCTGCCGTTTATTTTCTAATAGACTATCTACAGAGAAAAGATGTTGCAAACAGCATTTTGGGAAAGTTTCTCCTGCCATTCTTGTGAACAAGATGAACTACAACATGGACTATTGAATACTTTCATAGGTTGGAAAAGAGTTTCAAAAATCTACATCCAAAAAAATAAAAGAAAAGATTGTTTAATGAACCAAGGCCAACATGAAAAGAGGTCTTTAGTGACAACATAAGGAGATACCATTCTTAGAAGTGGCCTGTTAGTGTTTTGTAAGACAAAATAGAAGTCATGCTCACAAAATTGCAGACAATACAAAGTTAGAGAGGATATAAAATATAATGCATTGCTGAAACAAGTTTGGGAGAGATACTAATTAACTGGAATAATGGACTGAACCAAATGGAATAAAATTTATCAGTATTTGTGCTTAAAGAATAGCATTTAGATTTTTAAAAACACAACTGCACAGTCCTGAAAAGGAGATATTTCAATCAACAACAGTCTATAAAAGCTATTACAATAACCAAATGGTGTATTTATAGACAGAGTTTAGTGCATGGGGTGAAGGGAGGGCACAGGTGATTCTACCCTACTCTGTTTTCATCATATCACAGTAGGAAAACTAGGTTCTCATCCCATAATTCTGTGATCTACAGATGCTTATTAAATACACCATTCTCATTTCCTCAACAAAAACTTGTTCACACAGTTCTCTTCTAGTGCATTCTTTCCCAACTTACTACCAAGTTAGCTGGATCATATCTTTGCCTCATATCCATTCAGCCCAATCAGCAATGATTGCATACCAGCACTGTGCTGGGCACTGGGCTGTGTGCTAGAGATAACAATACCAGGTAACATTTAGTGAGCACTTAGATGTGCTAGGCACTCAACTTGTCCAGTGATCTCATTAATCATCATACCTCTGAGACAGAATCCCAATTAATGTCTCATTTCTACAGAGGGTTTTGTCAGCTTTCCCGTGATCTCAAGATAAGTGGGTACTGAGCACAACAATGTCAGAAATTGAAACTGAGAGCCTGACTCCAGAGCTTGAGCAACACCTACTTTGCTGTCCTGCTTCTCTGACAATGAAGGAGGAAGATGTGGCCATATCCTTCCAGCACAGACTAGATGGGAAAGGCACTGTCTATTGACAATAATATCAAGTTAGGCTTAAGGTAATCACTCTCATATAAGGAATAGACCAGGACTTTGGCATTCAGATAGAAGTCATCATTACTGAAAAAGATGAGGGGAAATCCTCACAAAGACCCTTATCTTTGGGCTGGGCCTTGAAATTTCAGTGGTAACTCCTTAGGGGAAGTTCTTTATTCACTGTACTAGCTTGGTTCTCCTTCTCCTTAAAGACTGCTCACTCAAGTCAGATAATCGTTAACAGTCCTGACAGCCAACTGGATTGTTCTCACCCCTCCCCAAGTCCTTGTTCAATGGTGTTGGGTTGGTAGCTTGGAAGTGCTAGCACCATAAAATTGGCAAACAACAGAGGTCCATCAGGGCTTCCTCTGTCCAATTCACTCCCAATTGTTAAGCTTTTATCAGCTTGCCACTGCCCAGAACAGCCAAACCACCTTCTATAATGATTTTTTTAAAAAAATTTCTAGGTGACTTGTTTTCTAAATGAAATTCCAAATGTGTCTCTAAGTATTCCAGAGGTAGTGGATAAATTTCTAAATCCCTTATTCTCAGTTTATACATGTGTAAAAATGGGTGGGTGGGTTTCTCCAGTGCTTTCCACATAATTTCCTAATACCATGATCCCTTCAGGACAGGGACTTGTGATAGCCCTTCCACAGATGAGACCCCAGGGAAGAAGGTCTCCTATGGTCACTTCCTTAAGAAAGGAAAAGATTCATTTGTCTTAGGCCATGATTCTTTTTTTCCTCAAGGATGATTTCCATGAGAGGGTAAGTTAACAAATTCATGGAAAACTGAAAGGAGAAACTTTCAGGGAAAAAAAATAAAATCTACTATGAATAGTAGATGAATAGAGAGATTCATTGTACAAATACACAGGACTCATCTTAGAGGAAATACTGAGATATTTACCTCCAATTCTGTCCCCCCACAACTCCCGCCACTTTTTTTCCTTTTCCTTTTTTCTTTCTTTCTTTTTTTAAATTTACTTTATTTTGTGGTGATGGGGATCAAAACCAGAACCTTGTGCATTTTAGGCAAGCTTCTCCTCAGATTCAATATAGAGCAAGGCAGATTATCATTGATAAATCATTGAAATTAGATTTTAAAAGGGACATATTTATGTAGAAAAACGAGATGTTTCAAGGAGGAGGAAATATGGTGAAAATATTATAAATGGAAAAGTTTGGAAGAACAATG